TAATAGTAATAATAATAATAATAATAATAATAATAATAATAATAATAATAACAACAACAACAACAACATCATCAATGAGCTGATCAGAAGGCCGAGGTCGCTAAGGCAGTAATGCGGCTGGGGGTGAAGTTGTAACGGTCTCGGGCCAGAAGATCGCGGGTTCGAAGCCCGTCTCGGGTACGAGAGTATTTGTGTGTGTCTGTATATGAATTCCGTCCTTTCACCCTTCACTGTCATCGTCCATACATCATCAGGGGTAACAACCCTAGGAGAAAAAATGGGATCCAGCTAAATGCTGGTCCCCTGATAAAGTTACATGCACCTGCCACTGAGACAATGGTACTAAAATCCAGTAAATGCAGATTGGTCCCGGCAAATGCAGGTGTGGTTCAAATCTGCGTACTTTTGAGAAAAATAATGACGATAATAATGTTGTTCAAGGAAATATTGTAATCAATTGAATGTAAGCGTTTTACGAAAATATAAAACAACTTTCTGTGACTCAGCGATTGGAATATTATATTTGAGCAACTGGACCAAGACAAATCCTTTTTTACATGTTATTACTTATAGTTTAAGACATTCTGAAAGAAGGCTTTTTCGGATAAGCCGCCTTTCTAAGCAATGAAAAATTTTATAAATGCACTATTTTGAAATGTATGATTAATTTGGTGCTACTGGATCGAGATCTGGTGAATAATAATTCGTTGAATGCAATTTGCTGGTTGAAGTTTGATGTTACACACGCCAACTCACAATGGTTGTAAGACGCTATGAGTTAGTAATGGAAATTGAATTCACAATATACAGCAGTACCAGTTATGCCTTTTAAGGGAGGGTTACACTACAATTTTGGAAGATTCATTAAAGAATGCTCATTTAAACTAAAGAAATATAAATACTTCATGTGCTTCGATGGTTTAATACATATGGGCAGAATACGCGTCATCAGTAGGCAGAGACAATAAAATAATGTTTGGCTTGAAAATACCATTACTTAGTACATCAAGACCATAATGGCTTCTAACATCTAAATTAATAAAATACATTAAATAAATAAAGAGACTTTGCAAGACGGGATATCTAGGGTCGTATTTCGGTATCAGTCATCGATAAGACATAAATCGTCAGAACTAGTGATGTTGAAACAGCACGTACTTCTTTGCCCGTATTTTCTCGAAAAAAGTACTCAAATTTTCGAAAAATTGTGGACCTTATTTCAAAATATATCTTTAAGGAACAGAGTTAATTAAGGGGAAATCATTAATCAGGGTTTTCAACGAACATGAGAATTGCACTATAATTCCATTAAACATACTTTACACTATCCAACAACAAAATTTAATCCAAAACGATGGAGCTATTTTTTTTTTTTGAAAAATTGGAAAATGTCCCAATTACTTACTATAAAATGCACCGGGAGAGAGAGCGCAGCACATCAACTAATACCACTGCAGTCTCTCTGACCGGGAGGTCCTAGGTTCGAGTCTCCTTTTTCGCTGAAAGGCCTTTCTTCGCTGATAGATGGCGATATAAACGTAGTACAATTTGCGGTGGTAAGGCGGAAGTGCAGGACAGATGGCCTGAGCATCGCCGCGTAAAGCAGAGCTTAATTAAATTGAATTGACTTAACTTTTTTAATTAATTTAAATTGAATTAACTTTTCTAGCTTTTGGTTGCTATAAGTGTCGCACTTACTTAACACATGTATGAAGGGGCATTAATACGTGAGAGCATAGGCTTCCGCGGCCGGAGTCAGTATTTACTAGGCTGCCCGGGTGACGCCACGTCCATGGCAAAGGTGCAGACGTTTCGGTCGCCATTCTGCGACCTTCCTCAGGGCGTTACCCAGCATTACGAATACGGTACGGACAGCCAATTAAATAAGGACATTAATACAATTCCTGCATGCTCATTGGGACTATTCTATCGTAAGATAGTATTTCACATGATTTCAACTCGTGTACATCCAATGTAAACTTTCTTGAGCTCATATCAAAACGACAAGTGTTTACAACTTCTTTTATACGAAATAGCATAACAGAAGCCACACCTTGCAGATTCGAAAGCAGTTTTGAATCACTCTGGATACGAATGTTATATTTAATTTTTTTTAAACAGATTGAAATCTTAAAAATGTTCCTTTCTTTTCATTTTGCTGGAAAATTTCGCGAATCTCCGTACTACCAACTAAGTGTCAGACGATCAGTAAACTATGTTGTTTAATACTATATATAATTGTCACCATCCCGTCACCTTGTTGGACGCAATTACGCTTGGAGAATATACTCCGCAATCGTAAAGAAATTCAAATTGTGATAGGTTGTCTCTGTTATTTGGTAGTGGTTGGAGCAGCTGGGCGTAAATCAAACGGCCCGGATACGAGTGCCGGTCGGGGCAATCAATTCTTTGAACAAATTTAATTATGTTGTTTAAGCTCACCACTACTCCCTTCACCGTACCCCTCGGGCTACGTCAAGATCCACGAGCTGGGGGTGTACAAAGTGCACCGCGACCGCGTCCCCTGGGAGGCGGCGCGGCGAATCTGCCAGGCGGAGGGGGCGCGACTTCTGGTCGTCAACTCGCAGTCCGAGGCGGACGCCGTCCTCGGGACCAGCGGCCTGCCCAGTTGGTTCTGGCTGGGTTTCGACGACTTCGACAACGCGGGCCAATACATCACCCTTGACGGTGAGTTTGCTTTTGGTTGCGTCGGACGTTTAGAGCCCTGAGTTTAGTTGTTCCACGAACCCTTAGGTTCTTCAGTATTATTGTCTATAGCACACGTTCAATAGTAACGTATCTGTGACATCGCAAAGTCTCCTGTATCTTGCATATTGTTATAGTATTTCAATTAATTTAGTTCATCGCGGTTTTAGTTTTGCATAGATTAGGAAATTATTAAATTTTTAAATTATTATGTAACATTGACTACGCAGTCAATGCGTATCTTTCAGTCTGACTGGAAACCAACAGTATGGTGTAGGAATTGTACGTCTACGCAATTGCTTTTGATACTATTCAATTCAGAGACCTGTTTCTTTTAAAGCATTAATATCTCTAAATATCAACGAAATATATTATCAACTCAATTCCATTCCATTGTCTAATGTATTCTACCAAAAATGATATTATTTGCAACTTTTCATTGAGACGATCTATTAAAAGTTTATGAGGACAAAGAACGCTCCGTATTATCAAGGACATAGCATGATAAATAAATTGCTCTCATTTGCAGGAAACACATTGCTCGACGCTGGGTACGAGAAATGGGATTCCGGAGAGCCTGACAAGTCAGTCAACTGTGGGGTGGCGTCTGTCAGGGGCTTACTGGGGACTGGAAACTGCAATCTTAAGCGAGAATATATTTGCGAGCTGATCTGAACAAACGATTGGGGGATTCAGAGCCTCCCGACAACATTTTTATAATAATGCGAAGTAAGTATGTAAAAAAGTGAATATTGTGAAGAATGTTTCTCAAAAACAATGTATTTTTATTTATGTTATAAATACAATACCTCGCCAAGGTTTCATGAAAGGGTTGATAAAAATCCAAAGTACTTGACCAATTCTTTAAAATTAACAAAAAATTTAGTTTGTCAGTGTCAATCAGTTGCGTGTGTTCATAAAATATTAACCTCTAAATACCAGGAGAAATTGATAATAGCCCTACAATCACAATACCAAATGTATCAAGTACCGCTTGTTGAAGTACATGTGAGAGATTATCACTGTTCATAAGTACACCAATGTTTTATTTATTATAAAAAATATTTTCATTCATGACTGAAATATGTGACGCATTTTGACCACAAAAGCATCATATTTATTGGAAAAAGTCCAGAGAGGCCGAAATTAATGATTTAGAATATAAAATGTTTCATTCAGAAACATAACATTCAAACTCTCCTTATTTGAAGAAAGAGTAAAATATAAATCCCTGTAAGTTTTTAAAAGAGTATATGAACTATCCAAATCAAAGAATGATGTATTGAAAATTGCACCTAGTACGTGAGATTATTGAGAGTGATGGTGACAAAAAGCAGTGGCGAAAACGGTGCAGTGAAGAAACCTTGTTCAAATTCACGAAACAATATAACGAACCATTTATATGAAAATTTTGTTGAATTCAAAATTTGTTGTTGTATTAAATAAAAGTTTGAACATGCGATGTAATTGTATTAATGAGATTACACTTTTCCCTTCAAAAATGTACAGGCAGTATTGTGTATTGCAGTGAATCTGATAGATCCGTGCATGCGCGACTTAAATCTCGGCAATTAGGGCCTCAGCTCACCAAGAGGCGTATCTGATTCGACGCCCATGTGCGGCTTGCGGTGCAACTGCACGCACCGAGATTTCCCTCGCCCCTCACAAAGACGCGTCTCAAGGGGTCTTTCTAGGCGCCGCCCGCCGAAGGCAGGAAAAACTCCCCGGACCTCCCCGTCGCCCCTTTGTCCGCAAGTGAGACAGTCGAATTAGCCGGCGTCGAAGCTACGGCCATGCAAATTCCAAAGGGTGTACAATAAAGCAATCATGATGGGGGCGACAGCTGGCAGTGGCTCGCGACATCGCGCAGGTATCCCGCGCCCACAGTGCACTAAGGGCAACGCATTAAAATACACAGAAAAGTAGGTCGCCAAGAGCAGGTCTCTTCTTTTTTTATAACGGTTAAACGCTTTTTTAGCTGTTCTTATAACGACTTTGCATTCAGTATTCCACCAGGGAACGCTTTTAACTTAAACGGGCCATGGTGCGTTTGCGTAATTGAGTTAGCAGAATTGGATATAATATTACAGAATGATTTTACTATCTGGTCAATATTATTTTCGTCCTTGAAAATATCTTCTTCATTGAGGTGCTCATCGATATTTTTTGATAGTCCAACCAATTAATGTTCTTATAATTAGGGATTGGGTTGCACCATTCATGACTAAGTGATACACTTGGTTCTTGCATATCAATCAGTATTGGAAAATGATCACTATCATAGGGGAAATCCAGAACATTTCAGGTACATTTCTGTGCTATTGTGGAAGAAGCTATTGAAAAATCAATCGTACTTAGTCTGCTGTTACTGGTATTAATATGTGGGATCACCACAGTTGAAGATGATGTTATTATGGTCGTCAATTACTTTTTCCAATAGTCTGCCTCTTATAAATTTTGTACGATACACATAAAGAGTGATGAGAGTTAAAGTCTCCAAGAATTATGAAGGGCTCTTTTATCTATCATATCATGCATTTCGATTTATTGTAGTGGGTACCTATTTGGGATATAAACATTTTCGATACATATGGGGTTAGTTGAATTAATTTTAATTGCCACAAATTCCATGTCAATTTTAATTGTTATAATTTCAATGGGAATCGATTGTTTTTGTATATTATTGCCGCATTACCACATGCATATTCAGGATTACTTCTATTTTTAAAAGTCTGCAACTATATCCAGTTATATTCCCATGTGTTTTTCCTTTAGTTTGTATACATATTATATCAGGCTATGTAGTTTGCATAATAATTGTAAGTTTTCAGCTTTGTAAAAGCCATTTAGATTCCATTGCAGAACTATCATAACGTTTCTTCTTTGTATTATATTCTACTTTCAGGTGTGTCAGCATGATTTAAATTCTATGGTAATGATCTGAATAAGTACATACAGTATTAGGTACTGTCTAAACTGATTTCTGAGTCTGAGGTCTCTCTGCTGGAATATTTTTTCTAATTTTTTAATAACTCATGTAAATCTGCCCTTTTATAGATTTTCATTCAATATTTTATGTTTCTTTCAGCATACCAATTCTGCATTAAAATCAAATTGAATAATCTTTAATTATAGGAATGGGGTCAGGTGCTCCAAAAGAGTTTTCAAGTAATGATTTAAAATGGGTATATGAGAGAGGAAGTTTGTTTTGGTTGGAGTCAATATAGGTTTTCGTTGGGAGCAGAAGATCTTCTATTGACTTGTTAACTAAATTGTCTTGAGAGGCAGGTTCTTCATTTGCATTTTTTGCTCTATTTTTCTTTGAGGGTTTACAGCTTTTATCTTTACATTTTACATCACTAGTTGATATATTCTCAGGTGTAGAGGATGATTCAGATGGGAGGCTTCTTTTGTTGATAGGAGGAAAGTTTGTATAGTCCATAGCAATCGAGCCAGATGGATTATCACCTGGTTGTTCTGTAGGGGGAATCTCTATTAAAATATTATCATTATTGTTATCTGTTGCTTTCATTTTTGGTTTTCATATGGTCTTCATTTGTGCATTTAAAACAGGTGATATTATCAGTTGTGAAAAATAGTCTATATGTTGTATCTTCATATGAAATTAGAAGTGATTGTGGTAATTTATATACTTCATCTGGGTGAAAAGAGACTTGTCGCCTAAAGCTCATAATATGAGACATACCTGGTTCTGGTAGACCTGCTCTAATAAATGTAATGTTAGAAAAAATATAATGATATTCGATTGTTGAAGAGCATTTTTTATCACATGTGGGATAACTGAACATACATAGGATATTATAACTCTTACATGCTTGCTTAATAGAGGCCTAACATTCACTTCAATGTCATTAATAGTGAAAGTTTGATGGTTATCTGTCAGGTAGTTAGCGATTTTTTTGATACTTAAAAACACACAAATCCTATTATTTGCTATGCGCGACACAAATCTGATATCATTTGCATTGATAAAAGTTGATATTTTACTCACATAATCTTTAACTGCAAGTCCTTTGTGGGCTGCTATAACAATTTCTTGGTCATTTGACGGGAAAATGTCCATTGCTGCAAATCCAGCATAAGATTTCAAGTTTGATCCATGTTGTTGTTGGGCGTTCGAGGTTATGTTTTCCTTGTGGTTCAATGTATCAATACTGACGCTAGTTGTCACACTTTCGAGTAGCAGCCACACGCAGAATACACTTAAAGGAGAAACTATATCACACTTTTGTATTTATGTACACCAAATAAGGTATTAGAAATACTGTCGAAAGCTCACGCGAACGGATCATACGATGTTGCTAGTACCGCGGTCCGCCGTCGACTGTCTCTCAATCTTGTTGAAACAAATGCAGCAGAAAGTTACCCTGAAGCTAGTCCTTTTTCTTTGACGCTCCAAAGTTTCTTTCGCGCAACAACTTCTAAATGGTCAATTATACAGAATTATTGCAAAAAGAATCAACTTCAACTAAGTTGAAAAATCTTTCTGCTATACGATGGTCTTCGAAATAACGCATGCAAAATCCTAATAAATCACTGGGCGAACATTGTAGATTCACACATTTGTATAGAAATAGATTTATTCTAAAAATCTTTAATTTGCTGTGAAGCTAAAGGTATTAAATCTAATGTCTAACGTTTGAAAACTACTTTCATGACAGTATTTTAGGACTTCATCGTTGACAGATTAAGTTCTACCAACCAAAAGTTACAAGTAGACATCATCGACTGCAATCAAGTAATTCAATTATATGATTCGTTCGTTGCTCTGTTTCAATCTAATCGAAACAATTTCGATTATCTTGAAAACACAGGAAAAAACTGACAAATGATACCGATTCATATGAATACGAAACCAAACGAACGAAAAGAAGAAAGATGCACTACGAAGAATCGAGAGACAATAACAAATGAAATAGAATTAAATTGTAGAGACTATTTCCGTGTTAACATATTTTTAGTTATAATTGATAAGATAATCGTTGAAATGGAAAAACGACGCCACATATACTTGCATATCAATGACAGATTAAATACTACTATTTAAATTGATAACTGTCCATGGTTGATTTACAAACAGCTGCAGAATATTTGCAATCAATTTCTCGAAGATGTTGAGGAAACCTATAAGTGAATTATTTCATTTGATATCTCATTTAACAACAATTACTGCAAAAATCAAGCCAACGAATCCCATTCCACTAAGCAAATGGTCACGTGAAGAAAATTACAAAAGTCTACCCAAATGTTGACGTATGTCTTCGTATGTGTTTATGAACATCTGCTTCCAATAGCACAACGGAACGCGTATTTTTCTGCCTTAAAAATAATAAAATTACGTAAGATCGCGAATGAATAAAGGACGACTTAGTATATTAACCATTCTTTGTATCGAAAGCATTTTCTGGAACAAATATATTTTAACACAATTATTAATGAATTAGCTCGATTTTTTCTTTTAAACTTTTGGTAAAGATTGTGCCAAATGTACCCTCTAAGATGACATAAACGCCATAATGCTCTATTCTTTTGTTTTTTCAAAAATTACAAAAATTTAATTGTTTGACTTGTCTCTCACGTTGTTAGCGGCAACTTGTTCACATTGTGGTTACCGCTAGCACCTAATCAGTTCAGCCGATGTTCTACGAAACTGATTTTCCCCAACCAATCTGAATGAACTCGAGGCTTTGGGAGCTTCAAATTAATATTTTGATTTTTGAGGCTTCTTGACATTAAGCCTCCAAAACATTTCAAATTCGGTAACTAAATAGTGCCGGGAATGTATCTGCGTTTCAGCAGCACTAGTTTGCTTTTTTTCGGCACCCGTATGTCGTAGATAAGTGAACTATTTTGAGCCTGGAGATTTTTTAAAAAGAAACCGTTTTTAAGAATATCTGATTTTACTGTTTTTTTGAAAAATCTCCATTTTTGAATGATCAAACACACTTTCTAATTTTGAAAAACGATAAAATAACATCATTTGAAGATTTTGTTTTTTACTCGGTGGTTTTAAGCATTTTGTAGAAGTAATTAACATTTGGAAGGGAAACATGATGCATGCGTATTACTATCTCCATTTAATATATCAAAATTCAGCAATTTCTATACTTCAGAGTTTGCAATACTTGTGTAAATCAAATAAATCTGTTGGCAGGAATCACGTGTTTCTGAATCATGACAGTTCACGGTAGTGCCAAGTTTTGAAAAAACGATGGATGTAGGTCAAAGATCATCAAACTTAATTTAATACTATACGCCATTGTAACATCTAATGACTTAAAAGGAATTATTACTTTTATGGCCAGACGGATACTTCGGGATGTCAAAGGTGACAATTTTGATTGATTTTCAGATCGAAAGTTTTTCCTCTAATCGCGATGATTAATTTGATTGTTCTGACAATATTTAACATCGCGATTCTGGCGTAGCGGTCATTAATGTT